TAGACATGATATAAATCTACAACAGTGGAAGACATATGTAGATCTATTTTCATAGCACTACATAAGAAGCCAGATGCAAAAAAAGATATTGTAATAGAGATGCTGGCAGATGATTTCGACATAGACATGATTGCAGTAATAATAAATGAAATCTACAACAGTGGTGATATAACGGAAGACATATATAGATCTATTTTCATAGCACTACAAGAAGCCAGATGCAAAAAGATATTGTAATTGCTGGCTGGCAGATGATTTCGTCATAGACAAGATTGCAGTAATAATAAATGAAATCTACAACAATATAACGGAAGACATATGTAGATCTATTTTCATAGCACTACAAAAAAGCCAGATGCAAAAGATATTGTAATAGAGATGCTGGCAGATGATTTCGACATAGACATGATTGCAGTAATAATAAATGAAATCTACAACAGTGGTGATATAACGGAAGACATATATAGATCTATTTTCATAGCACTACATAAGAAGCCAGATGCAAAAGATATTGTAATAGAGATGCTGGCAGACTTAGACGATTTCGTCATAGACAAGATTGCACAAATAATAAATGAAATCTACAACAGTGGTGATATAACGGAAGACATATATAGATCTATTTTCATAGCACTACATAAGAAGCCAGATGCAAAAGATATTGTAATAGAGATGCTGGCAGATGATTTCGACATAGACATGATTGCAGTAATAATAAATGAAATCTACAACAGTGGTGATATAACAAGACATATATAGATCTATTTTCATAGCACTACATAAGAAGCCAGATGCAAAAGATATTGTAATAGAGATGCTGGCAGATGATTTCGACATAGACATGATTGCAGTAATAATAAATGAAATCTACAACAGTGGTGATATAACGGAAGACATATATAGATCTATTTTCATAGCACTACATAAGAAGCCAGATGCAAAAGATATTGTAATAGAGATGCTGGCAGATGATTTCGACATAGACATGATTGCAGTAATAATAAATGAAATCTACAACAGTGGTGATATAACGGAAGACATATGTAGATCTATTTTCATAGCACTACATAAGAAGCCAGATGCAAAAGATATTGTAATAGAGATGCTGGCAGATGATTTCGACATAGACATGATTGCAGTAATAATAAATGAAATCTACAACAGTGGTGATATAACGGAAGACATATATAGATCTATTTTCATAGCACTACATAAGAAGCCAGATGCAAAAGATATTGTAATAGAGATGCTGGCAGATGATTTCGACATAGACATGATTGCAGTAATAATAAATGAAATCTACAACACTGGTGATATAACGGAAGACATATATAGATCTATTTTCATAGCACTACATAAGAAGCCAGATGCAAAAGATATTGTAATAGAGATGCTGGCAGATGATTTCGACATAGACATGATTGCAGTAATAATAAATGAAATCTACAACAGTGGTGATATAATACATATGTAGATCTATTTTCATAGCACTACATAAGAAGCCAGATGCAAAAGATATTGTAATAGAGATGCTGGCAGATGATTTCGACATAGACATGATTGCAGTAATAATAAATGAAATCTACAACAGTGGTGATATAACGGAAGACATATGTAGATCTATTTTCATAGCACTACATAAGAAGCCAGATGCAAAAAGATATTGTAATAGAGATGCTGGCAGATGATTTCGACATAGACATGATTGCAGTAATAATAAATGAAATCTACAACAGTGGTGATATAACGGAAGACATATGTAGATCTATTTTCATAGCACTACATAAAGCCAGATGCAAAAGATATTGTAATAGAGATGCTGGCAGATGATTTCGACATAGACATGATTGCAGTAATAATAAATGAAATCTACAACAGTGGTGATATAACGGAAGACATATATAGATCTATTTTCATAGCACTACATAAGAAGCCAGATGCAAAAGATATTGTAATAGAGATGCTGGCAGATGATTTCGAGACGATTTCGTCATAGACAAGATTGCACAAATAATAAATGAAATCTACAACAGTGGTGATATAACATGAAGACATATGTGGTGATCTATTTTCATAGCACTACATAAGAAGCCAGATGCAAAAGATATTGTAATAGAGATGCTGGCAGATGATTTCGACATAGACATGATTGCAGTAATAATAAATGAAATCTACAACAGTGGTGATATAACGGAAGACATATGTAGATCTATTTATAGCACGGAAGATGCAAAAAGATATTGTAATAGAGATGCTGGCAGATGATTTCACATAGCACTAATAATAAATGAAATCATGGTGATAGGAAGACATATATAGATCTATTTTCATAGCACTACATAAGAGATGCAAAAGATATTGTAATAGAGATGCTGGCAGATGATTTCGACATAGACATGATTGCAGTAATAATAAAATGAAATCTACAACAGTGGTGATATAATAGAGATGCGGAATGATTTCATATGATTGCAGAATAATAAATGAAATCTATTTTCAAGACATAGCACTAGCATAAGAAGCCAGATGCAAAAGATATTGTAATAGAGATGCTGGCAGATGATTTCGACATAGACATGATTGCAGTAATAATAAATGAAATCTACAACAGTGGTGATATAACGGAAGACATATATAGATCTATTTTCATAGCACTACATAAGAAGCCAGCAAAAGATATTGTAATAGAGATGCCAGATGATTTCAAAACATGATTGCAGTAATAATAAATGAAATCTAATATAACGGAAGACATATATAGATCTATTTTCATAGCTGGCCAGATGCAAAAGATATTGTAATAGAGATGCTGGCAGACTTAGATGATTTCGCATAGACAAGATTGCAAAATAATAAATGAAATCTACAACAGTGGTGATATAACGGAAGACATATATAGATCTATTTTCATAGCACTACATAAGAAGCCATATGCAAAAGAAAGTGTAGTCCATTCCATGTAATGTAACATCCGAATTCTGATGAAAAGAGCGTGCAGCTGAATCAAAGAGGAAATAGGACAGAAAGTGTCGGTTCGTCAAAGATACTGGAAGCAAAAACGCGATATTTAAGCTCAGAATGTTATCAGGAAGAATAATACAAATGCAGAAGGATGTGTGTCTGTGTTTTATAGATTATGCAAGGAATTTCAACAAAGTACGCAAAATATTGTGGAATTGCTAAACAACCTTGATATATCTGAGAAAGATATTAGAATAATCAAGAAGATATACTGGCAGAAAACCGCCTGCATACGAATGGAAAATAACTTCGGCACATATAGAAAAATAGAAAGGGGTGTGAAACAAGGATGTGTCTTCTTGCCGGACTTATTCAGCATTTACAGATGGCGATAACAGACGCGGAAAGAAAACGACAAAAACACCTACAGAAGGTGAAGAAGGAAAATGAGAAGAAAGAGTTAAACATCAACTGCAAGAAGACAGAATACATGTTTGTCACCAAAAAGAATGAGCCTAAAGTACGAATTGCAAATCGGAAATACCAAAATCAAATAAGTGCGGAAATTTAAATATCTGGGAATTGTTTTAACAGAGAACGGAAAGTGTGACACTGAAATCTGAAGAGTCATATTGGGATAGTCAAAGAAGCATTCCAAAAGCTAAGCAGAGTATTAAGAAATAGAAAAACTCCGCTAGAAACAAGGAAAATAATACTAAACTGTTACGTGATATCTTGGCAGTGAGTTCTGGACAATCTCCTCAAAGATGAAGAAGAGACTTGAAGCAACAAAAATAAGGTTCTACAGGAAGATGCTGAGGATAAAGTGGATCGAACATGTGAGCAACGACGAAGTTTTGGAGAAAATGGAAACAAAAAGAAAATTTATACTTAACACAGAAAGAGACAGTTTAAGTTTCCAGGACACGTAATGAGGAAAGAGGGCTTGGAAAATTTGATACTCACAGGACAGATTTAAGACAAGCGAGACAGAGGAAAACAACTAATAACATTGTGAGAAACTTTCGTATTTTGGCATCAACTTTGTTTATCTCGAAGACGGACCAATTAGTAATAGCGAATCTGTATGCAATTACAGGAATGGCTAGTGAGTTCCCTGTCTTCTTTGTTTCTGGCATTCAGCTCTGTTTACAGAATCTCTCTTACTCTGCGATTGCTATCCTTTCGTATTTTTTCAACTACGAAAACTCTTACTGAAGGTAGTAAAAGAAAGTGAGAAGAAAGGATTAAACATCAACTGCAAGAAGACAGAATACATGGTTGTCAGCACAAAGAATGAGCCAAAAGTGCGAATTGCAAATCGTAAATACAAAAATCAAATAAGTGCGGGAATTCAAACATCTGGGAATTGTTTTAACAGAGGACGGAAAGTGTGGCACTGAAATCCGAAGCCGTATCGAAAAAAACTTCGCTTGAAACAAGGAAAACCTTACTAAACTGTTACGTGATATATGCCTTCCTGTATGGCAGTGAGTGCTAGATAATCTCCTCAAAGAAGATGAATAGACCTGAAGCAAGAAAAATTTGACTCTACAGAAGGATACTGAGCATACCATGGGCCGAACATATGAGCAATGACGAAGTTTTAGAGAAAATGGAATCAAAAAGGAAATTTATACTTAACATCAGGAAAAGTACTTTCTTGTTAAATATTAAAGACTGTGTGAGAGTTAGATTGAACCAAAAAAACATCGCGAACTAAGAAAAATATTAAAAAAACACATATGGTGACACAAGGGTGTATTTAAATAGACATCGAAATAGGAAACAACATTTTTTTGTGTTGTTTATAAAGAAAACATTGATGATCAATGTCTTTTGTGTGGTTCCATAAAATTGGCACCACCTGTGATATCCTTGTGGTGGGCTGTCGAGTGCATGTTCTGAAAATCATTACCGGATCCATTTTTCGGAAAACCAATATTTTATATAGCACTTTCGATGTCGCTAATGTTTGGTACTACCTCTTGTTTTCCCGGACAGGTATCAGTCAATTGGCTGTTGGATTTTCTGGCATCATGATTAACTTCTGCTTTGGTACCATCTCTCTCTCTCTCTATCTAACTATCTATCTATCTATCTCAGTCTCTTCATTATCTATCTATCTATCTATCTATCTATCTATCTATCTATCTATCTATCTATCTCAGTCTCTTCATTATCTATCTATCTATCTATCTATCTATCTATCTATCTCAGTCTCTTCATTATCTATCTATCTATCTATCTCTCAGTCTCTTCATTATCTATCTATCTATCTATCTATCTATCTATCTAACTATCTCAGTCTCTTCATTATCTATCTATCTATCTATCTATCCTTAACTCTTACTTTCTCATTCTCTCTATATCTCTGTCTTTCTTTTTCTTTTATTCTCTCTCTATCTAACTCTTACTTTCTCATTCTCTATCTCCGACTTTCTTTCTCTCTTACTCTCTCCCTCTATAACTCTTACTTACTCATTCTCTCTCACTCTCTCTTTCTTCCTCTCTCTCTGTATCTCTCCTATCTATCTATCCTTAAATCTTACTTTCTCATTCTCATTCTCTCTATATCTCTGTCTTTCTTTTTCTTTTATTCTCTAACTCTTACTTTCTCATTCTCTTTCTATCTCTGTCTTTCTTTCTCTCTTACTCTCTCCCTCTATAACTCTTACTTCTTCATTCTCTCTCTATCTCTGACTTTCGTTTTTTTTCTCTCTCTCTCTAACTGTTTCTTTCTCATTCTCTCTCACTATCTCTGTCTTTTTTCTCTCTTTATCTCTCTCTCTCTCTCTCTCTAAATCCTCCTCATTCTTTCTCTATCTCTGTCTTCTTTTATCTCTTACATTCTATCTAACTCTTACTCTCTCATTTTGTCTCTGTCTCTGTCTGTCTTTCATTTTCTCTCTCTCTCTCTCTCTCTCATTTTACCCATTCTCTCTCTCTCTGTCGATTTTTCTTCCATACTCTCTCTCTCTGTTTCTCTCTCTCTCTCTCTCTCTCTAACTCTTAATTTCTCATTCTCTCTCTATCTCTGTCCTTCTTTCATTTTTTTCTCTCTCATTTTACCCATTCTCTCACTCTGTTGATTTTTCTCCCATACTCTCTCTCTCTCTCTCTTTCTGTTTCTCTCATGTTACACATTCTCTCTTTCGACCAGTCCCTTTCTCTCCCTCTACCGCTCTGATTTTATCATTTTCCTCTCTTGTGCCATCTTTCTCTCTCTCTCTCTCTCTTCTCTCTCTCTCTCTCTCTCTCTCTCTCGAAAGAGAGATCTACTCCCTTTATCTCTTTCTTTCTCATCTCTTTTGCCTATTCTCTAATCTCGTTCAAACCCCTTGTCTCTCTCTCTTCCCGATTTTTCCTCTTCATCTCGCTTTCATTTTTAACCATTTTCTCTCCCTCTTTCGGTTTAACCCCTCTCTTTCTCAGTCTCCTCTCTCTCTCTCTCTCTCTCTCTCTCTCTCTCTCTCTCTCTCTCTCTCTTTTGTTCTTGTCCTCTCTGGTGTTTTACTACAATTCGCTGTTGTTTTTTTAAACGACAATCTTTCTTAACATTCTACATTTTTTATTCCTTTATTCATTCATTCCTTTATTCATTCATTCCATTATTCCTTATTCACTTTTATCTATTTCTGCATCAATTTAAATATCATTTTTTGATTTTTTTCATTAATTTTCTGTTTTTCGTTTATTATTTGTTTGTTTTTTAATTTTTTATTGATCTTTTTATTTTCTCTTATTTTTTTATTTATCTCCTATTTTTATTTTTATTGCATCCATTAAAATAGAACATTTTTAGCGAAGAGACCCAAAGTTAACACAAAAAACACACACACACATATATTTATCATAATGTTAGCCGTTTCCCCTTAAGGAAACATTTGGCATTCGGAGCAGCTGGTGAAGAAGCCGGTTGAAAATTATAAAATCTTTCTCTTAAAATAATTTTTTCAGGAAAATAAAAATCATTTCTCTTAAATTAATTTTTCAGGAAAATAAAATCTTTCTCTTAAAATATTTTTCAGTAAAATAGATTTGTCAAATCTAGTAGCTGTTATTGTTCTTTCCTGTCTTAATAGTGGTTTCCTTCCCAGCTTTTTGTTTGAAGTAGTGTGGAATGTAACATCTTGATTAAGTGATTATTTTCTCTTCGAGTTTCTTGTGCTATCCATTTGAGCTGTCGCCGCTGTTGAAAGTCTGAAAGTGATGTGGTTTCTTTTATTTGACACAGTTAAGCACCAGTCCACCATCTTCACTCGCTCAAAGCCATTTTTAACCATTGATCTTAGAAGCGACTGTAGACAGCAGAAAGTTGACAAATTTTTGGATACATACATATGAAAGTCTCGATCTGACGACACTATTTAAGAACATGACATGAGATTTCAGGTTAATGTTTTGGTTTTGTAGCAACTGGTGGTGTTGTGCGAAACTACCTTTGCGGAATTCCAAAGGCTTGCTAATATATAATAAAGATCATCCATAGCCAATATTGTTATCATTTTCTTGCCTTTTTATTCTTCAAATTTCATTAACCGGCTTATTAAATCCACATATTATAAGAAGCACGCGTGGACCAAGTTTCGTTTTCATCATTTACAGTAATGCCTTGAGATACGAGCATACGGGTATAGGGTATTTTTTGAAAATATTCTCATTAATTTCCATGAGGAAAATTGATTTGAGATACGTGTGTTTTTAGTTACGAACTCGGTCTTGGAACGATATAAATTCGTATCTCAATGCATTAATATATATATATATATATATATATATATATATAGGCTCCTGAAAAATTAATTTCAGTTGAGCTCTCTGGGGAGGAAGTGTGGGTGTAAACAGTGACTATTATATATATATATATATATATATATATATATATATATATATATATATATAGAGACTTCGTCAAAAGCGAATTGAGTCCTGCCGGTCACTGTGTGTTCATCTAAAAATAAATACGCTAAAATTCAACTTCACCCCTGCCGTGCGCCGAGGCTTAGTGGTAGAATCTCCGACTGACGTTAATTCAGTCGGGTTTCGTATCTAGCTAGAGGCAACTGGACGTCTACTCACACTGATGAGCTGTGGTCCAGCGAAACAGTCTGTCTGTGGATGACATTATATATATATATATACATATATATAACTTTGATACAAGTTTAATTAAAAACGACTGACAAGTTGCAAATTAAAAAAATTATAATGTTTTTTATGAAAGTATTTATTCATATTTTATATATATATATATATATATATATATGATATTTCAGATTGACCTCAATCTTTCTTCAGAAATAACTGTTTGTTTACAAGTAGTGTCCGTCACGAGATGCGGACGTCACGTGATATGGAACGCCACTGTGTTCGAATATTCTTAACGTAAATCTAACTGTAATAATATTTTAGATGTTGTTTAAAAAAAAATTAACTATATCTAAAAAAAATGTTTAAATATTGAAATATTTATAAAGAATTAAAATACCCAAGTCTTTATTTAACACTAGTTTATATGTATTTAATTTTAAAATCCAGTATTTTTCTTTTTTTTCTGCGTGTGTATGTGGAACTGAAATCAGAATATATATATATATATATATATATATATATATATATATATATATATATATATATATATACAGTCGTTAAAAGGATCTAAGCCTCAGACAGAAAGAAGTGCCATAGTTGAATATTTTTTTCATGTCAATACACTACCACATCTTATAGAACAAGAAATACCAAACTCAGATTTCTCTGTTATTTTTTGTGCAGGTGAGGCCCATATAAAGGTGAAAGATATACCACAAATCTAAAAATAGACAAAACATAAGCCTGAACGGTCATAAAGCACATGCAAAAGAAAGGTATGGCCCCCAAGGAAATCTGTGGGGAGATGGTACCTTGCCAAGGACTCACCTTTCTTTATAACTGTGAAGAAGTGGGCTACGGAATTCAAGCGAGGCAGAACAGAACATGGCCCTCGATCAGATTGTCCAAAAACCTCAACCATTGAGGAACAAGTTGATACCATTCACCGTATGGTTTTGGATGACAGGCGTCTTACTGCCCAGTAGATAGCTAAGTCGATAGGCATTAGTTCTGGTTCGGTCCATACTGTTTTACCTGAGGTCTTGAGGATGAGCAAGCTGTCTGCAAGATGGGTCCCAAGAATGCCGACACCAGAGCAGAAACTGAAATGGGTTTACATTTCCAGGACACTTTTGAATCACTTCCAGGATGACCCTGAGAATTTCCACTGCAGATTAGTAACTCAAGATGAAACCTGAGTTTAGAAGTTCGAATCTGAATCAAAGATTCAAAGCAGTGGTAACAATCTAGTTCTCTACCCCGGAAGATGTTCCATTAGGCAGCGTCTGTTGGCAAGGCGATGGCTCCTGTTTTGGGGATGCTGAACGTGTAATCATGATAGACTACATGGAAAAGGGAAAGCCAATTAATGTACAGTACTATGCATTAGAATTAAGCCAACTTAAGGAAGGAATCAAGTCGAAATGCATAGGGAAGCTGAAAGCAGGTGTGCTCTTGTCCCAGAACACCCTTCTTAGGTTGCAGTAGCTGAATCAGACAAATGTGACTTTTAATCGCTACCCTACCCTCTTGCTCACCAGACTGTTTTTTAAACTCAAATCTAACCGGCGTAGTCGCCATTTTGAATGATATGATCATATGTGCTGCGGAGGAGTTTTTGGAGGACAAGTTCGCCACCTTCATCTGTGATGGGATTGCAATGCTTAATCATCGTTGAACAAATTACATTGATGTCAAGGGATACTCTATTAAAAATAGCGACAAACAAACTTGTTTCTTTAACTCCTTCTGGGTGAGGAGTTGCATCAAAGCTTCGCCAGTCAGTTTTCGAGATATTTCAATTTTTTTCCCTAAACTGGCGACAAGGTCTCATAATCTTACAATTAAATACCTACGTGTAACCGTAAGTTCTATGCTAACAGTTTCTTCAATCGCATTTTCACTCTCTTCCGGTGCCTTGCTTTCCAGTTAAAATTGAGCTTCAAAAATTTAAATGTCAATCGTTATTTTTTGTCTTCTTACTTACTAATTTTTATTCTTTTTTTTTCTCCTTAATAATATTTTCTTTCTCTCATTTTCTCTCGCACTCACTAACCCCTTGCGTCTTAGTGGCTGTATTGCCTTGGTTGGGATGAAATGATTACAAACAAAGCAAAAAAGCTGGTTACTTTCTACATAGACTTCGTGTATGGTATTATCAAATATGATTAGCTTGTTATTGCGCAAAGTCGAAGTTAATCTTCCATATAGGCGTGGTCTAGTTGCTTAACTGGAAATTCAGTAGGCGAAATCTTGTTTTTATCTGGGTTTGGAAAACGACCTCTGTAACCGTAAGAGAATAAGCAACCATCTATCCCATAAAAAATTCCCTCTTTCTCCCCACTCCTCTATTTCTCAGACTCTTTTTCTCTCTCTTTTATTCAATTTCTATCTCTTTCTTTTCCAATCTCTTATTCTAGACTTGTCTCTCTCTCTCTCTCATTCAATTTATATCTCTCTTTCTCTCTTTCTCTCTTTCTGACCTTCTTTCTTTTTAATCCCTTATTCTACACTTACTTCTCGCTGTTTTACGCGTTCTCTCTCTTTATTTCGCTTTCCCAATTCATTTCTCCCCTTTCTTTTCATTTTCTTTATTTGTCTTTCTTTTCCTCTTTTTCTCTTTCCTTCTCGCTTTTTTCTCTTCTTCTCATTCTCATTCTGCCCCACTTCCTCTTTTATTCAATTTCTATCTCTTTCTTTTCCAATTTCTTATGCTACACTTGTCTCTCTCTCTCTCTCATTCAATTTATATCTCTCTTTCTCTCTTTTTAATCTCATATTCTACACTTACTTCTCGCTGTTTTACGCGTTCTCTCTCTTTATTTCGCTTTCCCAATTCATTTCTCCCCTTTCTTTTCATTTTCTTTATTTGTCTTTCTTTTCCTCTTTTTCTCTTTCCTTCTCGCCTTTTTTCTCTTCTTCTCATTCTCATTCTGCCCCACTTCCTCTTTTATTCAATTTCTATCTCTTTCTTTTCCAATCTCTTATGCTACACTTGTCTCTCTCTCTCTCATTCAATTTATATCTCTCTTTCTCTCTTTTTAATCTCATATTCTACACTTACTTCTCGCTGTTTTACGCGTTCTCTCTCTTTATTTCGCTTTCCCAATTCATTTCTCCCCTTTCTTTTCATTTTCTTTATTTGTCTTTCTTTTCCTCTTTTTCTCTTTCCTTCTCGCCTTTTTTCTCTTCTTCTCATTCTCATTCTGCCCCACTTCCTCTTTTATTCAATTTCTATCTCTTTCTTTTCCAATCTCTTTTTACACTTGTCTCTCTCTCTCTCATTCAATTTATATCTCTTTTCTCTTTTTTAATCTCATATTCTACACTTACTTCTCGCTGTTTTACGCGTTCTCTCTCTTTATTTCTCCCAATTCTTTCTCCCAATTCTTTTCATTTCTTTATTTGTCTTTTCCTCTTTTCTTCTCGCCTTTTTCTCTTCTTCTTTCTCATTTCCTTCCTCTTTTTTATTCAATTTCTATCTCTTTCTTTTCCAATCTCTTATGCTACACTTGTCTCTTCTTCTCTCTTCTCTTTTTAATCCCCTTATTCTGCCCTTCTCGCTTTTTTACCTTCTTTTTTATTCGAAATTCATTTCTCCCTTTCTTTTCATTTTCGTTTTTTTTCATTTCTTTTTTTTTTTCTCTTCTTTCTCATTCATTTTCTCTCTCTTTTCTGCCCCAATTTCTTTTTTTTCGATTTCATTGTTTTTGCATTGCTTTTTCTTTCTACCACATTTCTCTCTCTTATTTTCCTTCTCTCCTTCTCTCTCTCAATCTCTCTCTCTCTCTCTCTCTCTCTATGTGTGCTTCTTTTTCTTACAGATCTCTCTCTCTCTCTCTCTCTCTCTTTCTCAGTTGCTATATATCATTTCTTTCTTACATTCTTTTTCTCTATCTTCCTTTCATAAACTTCCTCTCTATTTATTTTATTCTTCTCTTTCTCTCTATATCACTGTCCTCTTCCTCTTTCGATCGTTCGGATATTACCTCCCCCTTCTCTCTCTCTCTCTCTCTGTTTGGTCTTTGACATACTCATTCTTTTTTTCTCACTCTTTTTGTTTCCAAGGCTTCCTTTCTCTCATTTTAATTCTTTTTTTTCTCTCTCATTTAATCTCTTTTAACTATCCTTTCTTTCTATCTGCCTATTACTCTTTTCCTTCCTCTCTCTCTCTCTCTCATTCTCGTATTTTTCCCATTCACTTTTTCTCTTTATCCCTATCTCTCTTTATGTCTCTATCACTCTTTTCTATCACATTCAACCCCTACCTCTCACTCTTTCGGTCTTTCTCACCTTTATTCTCTGTCTTTGTCATTGTCTTTGTTTCCTACAGTCCTCCCTATTTTTCACTGCCTCTTCATATATATATATATATATATATATATATATATATATATATATATATACATATATATATATATATATATATATATATATATATATATATATATATATATATATATATATATATATATATTTTTGAACAATAAGAAAATTAAAAATTAAAAAATTAAAATCATTAGACACACTGGGTTGTAGATTAATATTCTTTCGTTTTTTTATTATTATTATTATTCCATTTAAATTCCTCGACTAGTTTCGACCGAAATGGCCATCATCGGGAGGCGAAATATTTCTGCTTGCTGTTAGCAAGGAACTACAGAAATGAATGTCTTTTGTTGGAGAAAATGAACTTTTGTCTGTAGTTTTCATTTGTTTTTTTATTTTTTTATCTTTTTAACATGAATCTTTTAACATTCCTTGTGTTGGTCAAACAGTCTCTTTTAAGTTGTTATTTGAGATAAGAACTGGATAAGATACATTTTATCCTGAATATATATAAAGAAAGAAAAAAAGAACAGTAAGATATATAATCCAGTGTTCTTGCTGATATTTTTATTTTTACAAAATACTGCTCAATGTAAATTTACAGAGCATTAATATTATAAATTAACTGATTTAAATTATTTTAAATCAGTTAATATATATATATATATATATATATATATATATATATATATATAGTGGGAAGTGTGTATTTGTTAACAGTGACTATTTCGGCTAATAATGCAAGACTCTTCGGTAAATCGAATCGAGTTCTCTCAGTCACTGTGTGTTTATCTAAAAATAAATACGCTAAAATTCACCTTCATCCCTGCCGTGCTTAGTGGTAGAATCTCCGACTGACGCCAATTCATTCAAGTTTCGATCCTAGCTAGAGGCAACCGGACGTCTAACTACACTGATGAGCTGTGATACAGCGAAACTCTCTGTGAATAACAATATATATATATATACTCTCTATGTCCCATCCTCGTACTCTTCATATTCTGACTCCCTCTTTCACGATCTCTCTCTCTCTTTTCACTGACACTATTTATGCTCCTCAAACTCTTTCTCACCCATTCAATCACTCTTTCTATTTTTTCTTTATTTCTGTATCTCTCTCTTTTCTGCCACTTTTTATTTCTCTTAATCTCGTACTCTTTCTCACCCATTCACTTTGTCTCGCCTCCTCACTATTTTTCCGTTAATTCTCTTCCTCCCTCAAGCTTTCTGTCTCCAGCCCTCTCTTTGCCTCTCTCAATATTTCTCTATTCCTCTCTCTTTTTCTATAAGACCTTTTCTCTTTGCGATTCTTTTTTTTTTTCATCTCGCACCTCTCTAATTTTCCTTATGTCTCTATATTTTCTCCCACATTATTTCTCTCTCTCTGATTCACTTTCTCTTTATCACACTCTTTATTTTTTCTATTGCTCTCTTCTTTTCTCTCACACTTTTTCTTTCACCCATTCTCTTTCTCTATCCCACTCTCTTTGTTCGTATATAGTAATTTTCCAAGCGCAGCTTAGATGTGGTACAATGCCGAAAATATGGGGCACCCAGTGGAGATCGAACTCACTACTCATTCGGAATTATTCAAGCGAAACAAGCTTGCTAACCATTACACCACCTCGAGATGCCCACTTTGTTTGTATATATCTCATTCTCTCATACAAATTTTGCTTCTTTCAATTCCTTTTCTCTCTTTCTCCCCCAGCCTCTCCATTTGTCTATCTTTTTATATCACACTTCTTTGCTTACCCATTCTCCTTTTCTGTCTCTTCTACTATCTCTAATTTATCTATTTCTCTTTCTCTCTCAGTCTCCCGGCCCAATTAA